ATTCACACATAATATGTCCCAACCTGAATAGTACTTAACTTTCTCTCCCAAATCTGTATCTCTATAATTTAGCCACATATATTGGAAACCTGGGGTCTGAATTAATACCTCACTTTCTCCCTTATCCTCCAAGTCTGTCCTTACCAGTGAGGAGTCCAACTTCTAGTTAAAAACCTGTATGTGATTTCCGAGGCCTGGCCATAGGCGATTACCAAGGCTTTACCTGGCAGGCCTTACCAGGGAAAGCTGCCCTCCTACCCCAGACTTGGTGCACAGGCAGTACATTGCAGTTTCTAAAGGGAGTCGCAGTCAAGCACTTCGGCCCCTCAAGCCCGTCATGCTTTTTGCATATTTGCATTCCTAGCCCAGGTGCCTTCATTCCTAGATTTATTTATATGTGAGGCCTTGGGCCAAGGTCTTCTTCAGGTAACTCTGCTGAGGTTGGGGTTGACTGGGAAGGAGGGAAAACCTCGAAGACATTTTCCCCACTCAGACTCAGTACCCAGTACTTTTCCAATCCTAGCTCCTCCCCATCACCTTACACCTGACCCCAGAGTCCACAAAACTGAAAAGCATTTTGTCCAGGGCTCGCTCAGCAGTGAGCTGAACTCCATGTCTGTGCTGATCCACCCAACCCTCAATAGGTGTGCTATTCCCTGGGGGAAAATGGCACAGAGGCAGTTCGTGATTCCTTGTTTTAGACTCTTGCTTATACCAGTACAGTATGTGATTAAAGGCTTAACTCTTCCATTTTTGACCTGTTGCTTTAATCAGCTACTCCAACACCTGTCAGCTCAGCTCTCTTTCCAGCCCAGCTGAGCTCCCAACAACCAAGGCCTGTGCAGTGTATCTCTAAATTAGATCTTCAATATGTCCATGTTTCTCCAATCCCCTTTGCTACCACCTAACCCAAGAACCACTCTTCTTGGCCCAGACTCTGGCTCTAGCCTCATTTCTGGTCTCTAGGATTTCCCTACTGCTCCCTTCCAAGCTATTTGCTATAAAGGAGCCAGAGTGATCCCTTAAAATTTTTAAATCATCATCATGCCCCTGCTTAAAACCCTTTTCTGGCTTTCCTTTGCACTTAGAATTAGCTAAATCCTTACCTTTATGATACCCTGAATTATCTAGCATCTGCATGAGTCAGTCTCTGTATACCTTTTCAGAATGCCTTGTTTCTCTCTCTCTTGATCACTGTACTTTTGCCACATTGTCTTTCTTAGAAGGCAATAACTTCTTTCCCTCTTCAAAACCTTCAGACATTTGGTTAGTGACATGCTGAGGGTTGGGAGTGGGATAGCAGTCAAACTGGACATGTAGGAGTATTTTATCACTGACATTGCTTAGAATTGTTAGAGCATGGTGAATCGAAAGCAGACTGACCTTCAGTTGGTTTCATTATTATTTTTAGTTCTATTCAAACATTGTAGCCCCTTTATTGCCTGCAACCAGTACTGACCACTGCCTCCCCAACCCGTCCTTGGCACATGGCTGCACGATGCACCGCTGTATGGATATCTCACCCCCAACCCACTTTCCATCTTGATAACATCTATTCATCTCTCGGGCTGGATTTGAATAGGCTTAACTGCTAATGGTAAGGACTCAGTAGAGTGGGAGTATGCATTGTAATCACCTAGAAGTCTTGTTAAAACACAAATTGTTGGGCTGTGCTTCTAGAATTTCTGATATAATGGTCTTGGGAGTGATTGATAAATTGCATTTCTAGCAAACTCATAGGGAATTCTTATGCTGCTGGAATGGGAACCATACTCTGACAGCCACTGAGATACAGGTTGGAAAAGGTTGGACAGGAGGCTCTAGAGCCCAGATAGAGAGATTTGCTCTAGGGAGGAGGAGAAACATCATCCTCTTGTACAGGATGGAGGTAAAAAGATGGGTACTGATCCAGGTAGCCTTAAAGGTTAGGGAGCAGGGAGTTGTCAGAACTCACCTTGCCTCACGGATTCTTTTGTCATTATGAGGTAGGAATTAAGGTCATCTGATAAGAATGAGGAAGGAGGATAGAAGGTAGGGTTAGAAGTTAGAGGAAAATAGAGAGGTTGGAATGGTCCCTGTGGGGTATGAGAGATCACATGACAGAGAGACATACAGCTTTGCTGATCTATGTTGAGGGCTCAGGTGAGGTTGGCAATTGTACATGTATTGGTACCAATTTGTTCTGTCATGTCATTCAAGTTACTGACCAAAATTATATCAACTGAATAAGGTTCAAGGGCAATCAGATCATTTCAGAGGTTGGTATCCTAAAAATATCTCAAACTAACTGTGACTCTCCTTTCTTGGTAAGACACACAAATCAAAAAAGGCCTAGCATGGCCCAGAATTGCCTCTAAACAAACGAAGAGAGATTCCTCTATATCTTTATTTCTGAAGATGATTTATCACACATCCTTCTCTGCTAGTGTGTTTGTGTATGTGTTTATTAGTACTAAATTTAAATTTTGCTCACTTATAATGAACTTTTTTTTTCAAAAAGGCAACATCATTTTACATTGAGATATCGAAAAACTTCCATGTGAGAAAGACAAGAGACAGAAGCACAAACCTTTCCTTTAATCCATTCACTCCTCTCTGTCCTATCCACTTATTGACAGCATGGAAAGAGCTATCAGCTGGCTCAGATTTCAGTCTCTGACACGTCATTTTGAGTTATATTGGCCACCAGGAACCAAAAGTAACAAGAAAGGAAGAAAACTGGAACTGTAATTTAGCACTGTGCAAATAAACATGCTCTCTACTGGTTGTGGTAAAGGTCAGGAGAGCTGGAATCTGGCAGGCTGTCAAGCGGAGGAAGCTTCTGAGCTGAACAAATAGATAGTCTTGGGAATGAAAAGCCCTGGCACCACTGAACCCAGGCTTCCACTGGCGAAACTATAATTGGCTACAAGTGACAGAGGATGGTGACAGGGCTCTTCTCAGAATCTTAAGGAGAATGCTGTAGTTTAAAAAAAGTCCCTAGTATTATTAGAACCATGTAAAGTATGTGTTAATTTTATTGGTACTGGTTCATTTATTTGGTTTTAATAATGACATCTATTCGAGATGGAAATGGAAAGAGAAGAGATGATGCAAATAATATTAATATGACATCTGGCTCAGTAATCCAAGGAGTATAGGGATTACATGCATATTCACCTACACACATATGTTCAGATTCAGATAGGGAAGGCTGGTGACCTGACAGGTATTAAATAAAATGTTTTCATGCCGTTTGGTGAATAGGCAACCAATAGCTGAGCTCCTCTAGTGCTGCCTGCTGCCCCAGCCTTCCCTGCACCTCCCCCTCCTCACATTCTAGCCGCTAAGGGGTTAATAACAGCAGTGGGCGACTGGAACTCCCAACCCCCACAATAAGGTCTCCATTTGGATTGCTCAATTGCCTGTACCATGTTGGTTGTTAAATGTCTTAGTATCACTCCATGTATATAGATGTATGTTGCATATTGTGAGTTATTTGATGAGGAAATATCTGCATCAAGATTACCTAGGGCACTTGTCAAAAATGCAGATGCTTAGGTTCCAGGATATGCATATTTATCTATCTCCCAGGTGATTCTAGAGAAGCATATCAAATATAGTCTACATTTTCTGGCATAGATCAAACCTGTCTGTCCTGTCTTCCAGGTAGATGCCAAGTTCTTTGAAGTGAGGATCCTAAATCCTAAAACTCTTGGTATTCACCATCACGCCTAGTGCTTGTTGACTGACACCAAAGAGGAGGGATCATTGATTGAGAAGTGTAAGCTGAAAAGATAAATTGGGTTTGATGATGATGATGATGGTGATGGTGGTGGTGATGGTGGGGCAATGGCTGACCCTTGCGAGTGTTTACTGTGTGCCAGGTACTATGAAAAGTGCCATGGATGCCTCACTTAAGTGAATCTGCACAATAGCCCTAACAGATACTGCTATTATCTATATTTCATGGCTGAGGAAACTGAGGCCCGAAGAGATGGAGATACTTTCCCAAAATCTCATTGCTGGAGGGAAGCAGGACTCGGATCTTGACTTTTCTGACTTCAAAGCCTTCACTCTTTCTTGTTTACTAAGCCATACCGGCTCTTGGATTAGAAAACAATTCTACAGATAATTTATAAATCAGATTCTTTGGAGTTAGTCTCTTCCATTTGATTCTGTTTCAAATTTATTTGTTGTATTTTATTACACATGTGGAGGGGAGGTAGGCATGGAAGATGAAGAGACTGTAAAAACTGTACTCTACGATTTGCAGAAACCAAGGTGAAGGAAACTGAATATAGAAATAGAAGGTATATATAAATATTCCCCAATACTTAGGAACAATTGGAAACTTTATTTAGCTAAATAAAAATAAAATAAAATAAAGCACTAACTGAAAAAAGTTAAAACATTGCAGCTGTCACTGGACCTTGGAAATCAAGATAAGAAAAGAAAAAGATTTTGAGGTTATAGCTAGAAAGTGAGTAGTAAGAAAAGGGAGTTAAGATGAAAACCCATTGTCAAGAAATGATGAGGGCAACTGAGATTTTAGAAAGACCATCAAGGGGCCAGCTGAGGCCTGGACTTGACAATGGGCAAGACAAGCAGCCTGGATGTGGAGAAATCAAGGCAGCTCATAAGAGGCAGCAGATTGAAAGGATAACGGGGCTTTATATGCAATTAAGTTTTTTTTTTTCTTCTAAGTATCCTGCCGGGAAGCTGGGATTAATGAGATCACGGAGTATTATAATTTGATTCCGGTTAAAGCATCCTCGTGCACTGAGCTTAATGAAGAATGGCTAATTAACGTCCTTTGAATGTAAAGAAAAACAGAATATACATCAGAATTGTCTTTTCAAGGCAAAAACAAACCCAAAATCAAAATCTGGATTAATAGCATCAGAGTGCTTATTCAGACTTCAATATATGAATCCCAGTACTTTTCTTTAGATACAGATAAGTTTCTAATCATCTTTGATTCATTCATGACATATGGAGAAGACTATATTTATTCTTACTGGGATCTGGGCAAAATCCCCACTTTTCATCTCTTTCATATCGGCTTGTCGTGGCACACCACAGTAAGTTGTCATCCCGACCTTCCTGGGTACATTCGTGATGCCACTGATGGTTATACTGGAAGGGAAACACACATGGCATCCCGTGGGCATTCCCTTTGATTGTGTACAAATCTAGGAGAAAGAAATTTACAAAGTCAGTTAAGTATAATGTCAGCTTTATCTTGGAAACTGCCATATATTTAGTGCATTTTTTTTTACCAACTGAAAGACTCATAGGGGCAGGTACTCCCTACGCCAGAGCGAGCCCTCAGGTCCTCACTGTCTCATGTCAGTGGAAGTCCTAGACTGAGTACGGGGCTCAGAGGAAGTGCTGAGATATGGGTTGTTTATACATCTATCTACTTGTGCATTTACAACGGTGAGCTGGTTGGTCCAGTAACGTTCACGTTTATGAACGGATGAGAAGGAAAATTTAGTGGAGATTTTACTTCGAAATATCTCCCAGTCCTCAAATATATCAGCCATCAGCACCTAACGCTCAATAATTTCATAGGCGTTTATTAATTTATTCATTCGATAAATATTTATTATTTAATATGCCCAGCACTGGGTACACAGCAGAGAACAAACCAGCAAAAGTTCCATCACACGGAACTTCTCTTCTGGTGAGGAAAAGACAGGGAAAGCAAATATGCAAACAAATGTATGATATAATTTCAGCTAGTGATAAGTGCCCATGAAGAAAAATAAAATAGGACAAGAAGACAGAGTGGCTGTGTGTACAGTGAGTGCGTCTGATGGGGCGGAGGGCACTGCTTTGGATGGGACGGGCAGTGTAAGGCCTCTCTGAATCACTAGGTGAAACGAGGGCGCAAGTCTTTGGAAAAGCATTGTTCCAGCGGAAGGAATAGCAAGTGACAAAGACCAGAGACAAGCAGGTGTGGGGTGAATGAGGAAGAGCACGGAGGCCAGATGGGAGAGGATTCAGGGAAGTGCTGGAGCGTCAGCTCACCAAGGGCTGTGACCTTGGCCTCTCTACTCTACTCTTCCCCTGCATACACAGTGAGTGTGTGTATATGGCTAAAAAGTTAAAATAATGCAAAATTATCAAGTTCTTCCTTAGATCTGTAGATTATCTGGAGTACTGGTGTGCAGCACTTGCTTTCTTGTAGTAAGAACCAAAAATGTCTTGCTCTTGGCTCTCTTTTTACTCATACCTTCTAGCTACAGGATAAAGTTCTGCCTTGAACCTTAGGAGTTCCTTGCTCTGCTTCCTAAAACTGGTATAGAGTTCTGAGGAGGCTATCCTCTCATTAAGACATAATTCTACAGAGCACCACAACGGGGGGACCACATCTATCTTGCTGGCTTTTGAAAACCAGGTGCCTAGCACTGTGCCTGATCAACAGTCAGTGCCCGACAAATGTGCGATGGACAAATGGATGGGTGGATGGATGGATGGATGGATGGATGAAGAGAGCTACCAAACAAACCTTGAGGGACAAGTTTGAGGTTTCAGGATTTAACTACATGATTTTCTTTATTTTATTTTTTTTTCCTGTTCAAAAATGGCAAAAATAAAAGAATTATGAAAAACTAAAGTCTCCTATAAGCCATGCTTCTCAACTACCATGCTTGCCACACATCAAATGATGCCCGATGATGGTCTGTCATCTATCTTCAAGTGCCTTGTGACATGACCATCACATGGATGCCAACCAGGCACCAGGAGGCATTGGAGGGGCCCTGCAGACACACCTCCATTGGGGGTGCTGAGTTCCTATAACATGAGAAAATGTGGCAGGGAAGGTTATCATATTTGTCCTGACAAAAGTCTTCACTTCAAAGATCTTTTCCTTCCACCTTCCTTTTCTCTCTCCCTCCTGTCCACTTGTACTTTCTCTTCTTTTCCATTGATTTCCAAAGTTAAATGTTTTTCTCCCAGTACCTTTAAACTCTGAACAGTTCTCAGAGTTTAGCACGTCCACTCTAAAACTCTAGCAACTCTTTTATCGTAAGCAAGGAAGCAACTAAAATGTATTTACAAGAAGTCCCTGATGTTCCAGGCTTTGTGTACTTCTTTCACGTAATGCTTTACGAATCTTTACTTATGGGCAAACTTTTGAAGTATACCCCTCTGCGGGTATTTTGATTTAAATTATTTTTACCTTTGTGCAGATATTCGCAAATGTCTCCGCCACCTGACATATAGGAAATCCACTTATGAAGATATTTCCATGAGGCCACCACAATGTTGTCGTGCTTCACCTGGACCACGTACCGGAGCGGGCCGGTGATCATCTTCCTGTTACAGCGCCACCCCAGGGAAACGTGGGAGGAATCACACTCATACAAGCTCAATGGCTGCTCCGGATTCGATAAATTGAGGCCCAGGCAACCGCTGCCTCCTACGTTAAAGAGGCGGTGGTTTGAGACCCATTTCCACAGCATGTGCTTATTCGGAGGCTTGCAGTTCTCCAGGGTCAGTAGAGATTTCCCGGCTTGAATGCATTTCTTGAGACTCTCACTTTGGATAATGAATATTCCTTTATCTGAAACAGAAAAAATGAAAGATGTGGCATGAAATTTCACATGTAATTATCCAGTGTCAGAAGGATCCCAGTGTGTATGTCTTAGCTGTGATACATCACGGCTGCCAGCCATTTTGAACAGATCTGGAGTTGCTGGGGAGGATCCACCGGAAGGGCTTTATTCACACAAAACAGAAGAGTTTTTTGGAAGCATAAAAGGACTTACTGGAGCTAACGGGAGACCTCTGACCTAAGACCCCACTGGCCACACAGGAGCAAGGGCTACCTGCCACTCCACTCGGGCCTAGTGCTGACAGAGAAGGCACGCTCCACAGCTGGACAGAGTGAGGACTGGTAACAGCACATTTTGTGCTATTTCACAAATATTGTGCCATAACACAATAAAGCACTTTGTGTCACACTCTGGAGCTCTTCCCCCTGGAGCCAGAAGAAGGGATTTGGGTGAGCTTCCTGTGGAAAAGCTGGCAGGACCCAGCCGGGGAATACACATTAGCCACCTGCCTGCTACCTGACCTTACCTCGAGTTCCTGGCCTGGAAGGCGCCTATTACACACAATTATGAACTTGTTTTCACGGGATTTTTAAAGATGGAAATCACACCTCATTTCTTTGGTGTAAGCACAGAGCGTACTGAGCGCACCGTAGAAGTTCAGTAAGTGCTTGACGCCGATTAAATACGCCGGCAGCTGCTGCTTGGGCCTATGGTTCCTGAAGTTACCTCAGCTCGCAACGTCTGGTCAGGTCCAAGGGCTCTTTTGTTCTCCCATTAGCTGGACTCTCCTCTTATAGTTTACTTCCTGTCTATTCTTCAAAGCTCTGAAGGGACATTATCTGGTTCCCTTAACATGGCTGGGGTTTAGGGTTGGTCATGTCATGTGGCCGGGGCAGTATAGGGACAGGCAGGTTTGCAATCATGCAGGACAAGCCACTGCATGCATTGTGTGAGGGAACAATGCTTCCTTTTGGTAAAAGTTCTTTTGGTATTTCCAAAATTAATCAGGCCAAGGAGAACTGATTTACAGTAACCAGAATCACTTAAGACACTATTTAAAAAGATTGTCAATGTATTAATGAAAGCTATACCTCATTTAATAACTGATATCCTTTCTTATAGCCATGTATTTGAGGAGTTGACTTGGTTGTCAGAGAATTGCTTTGATCACCATATATCAGAGCAAAAGAGAAGGGAGGGGGTGGGGAAAATGAATGGTTTTAGGGAGATTTCATTTAGATCAGGAAATTTGTTTTCCTAATGAAGGCCATGTCTGTCTGGTTATTAGTAATAGTCATTCAAAATCAAATCCACCTCTTGTCAATGCGATATGGACTCTGATAATTAACCTTCTCCCCAACTCTCCTTTTCACCTTTTCATGCCTGGGTAGAATGTTAACTTTAATTTCTGTTGTAACCTACTAATTACTTTCTAGCCAGTCCAGAGTTCCATTAATTTTTTATTGAAGGATAATTATTTTACTAAAATGGTTCTGTAGGTCAGCTTCTACCTAATATATATGTTCAAATATATCCAGCTCTGCAACTTACTGATTGGGCCTCAGTTTATACACTTAAGATAGGTGCATAGACTACCTGGGTAGTGGCTGAGAGCTCTGGAATCAGGCAGTCCTGCCACAGACCAGCTGTGTGACCTTGGGCAGCTTGCTTGATCTCTCTGTGAGCCTCATCTTTCCTCTTTGATCTGGGAATGTATATGGTACTGAACTCACAGGGATGTTAAGGATATTCCATTAAACAACCTATGCAAAGCACACCATATACCACCATGGAAGAGGGACGACCTCAGTAAATGTGAGTTGTTACCATCATTACTATTCCTCTGACTTCCTGATTCTCCATCTACAGATCCAGCTGTAGATCTGGTTGAATGCTATAAAGTGCTAATCTCAGCATCCCTCAAAGACTTCTCTTCTTCCATCACTAGCACAGAAGCTTATTTTTATTTTAGTTTCTGCATCACCCAAAGGGTGCAGACTTTTTAAAAAACAATCCTGAGACACTATGCTATCACCTTTCGTGGAGGAAAAATACTCTCCAAACAACCGGATAACAAAATCTTTGTCTCATTTGGTCATATACATGTGCAATTATGAATTAAGAGTCTTCATCTGGTGATCTTCTGTATTACCTACCTGTAAAGTCTATACTGCAATTTTTTTAATAAGAAAGAAAAAAATACATGATGTTGACAAGCAGTGTGTTGATGGGGGAATGGATAGTCTGTGAATAAGTGGACATGGAAATTATACACCTAAAATTTAGGGTGAATAAATTACCTTTTTAAACTTCCAAATTATTAAGTGTTAAGAGGAAAAGAGTGGCAGAATTAGAACTTTCATAGTCACACCAGTGGTCATAAAATACCTTTCCAAAACAGAAGATATTAGTCATGCCTAATCCCATGCTGCTGAATTTTGAGATGCTATTACATTTCCATGCCAGCTGCCTTTAGGATGTAGCTTTGGAAAGATCTTCAGAATGTACCATAAACAAGTAGCTGTGGTAGCTATGGCTCACCAATAACAATAAACATGCTATCTCCAAATATACTAAGCTAAAAAAATGACCCAAACCCATTTTCCCATTAAGTTGTAATAGAATCTGATCTTAGCACTATTAATCTCCATAAATTCACTGAAGAGAAAACAATTGTTTTCAAATATACTGTGAGGAGACTTAAAGTAGGTATCAATATTCTGATTGTCATTACATGCGTATAATGTCTCTAACAAAACTATAATGTGAAAATAAGCCTTAATGTGTATAGTTGTTGGATTTCAAAAAAGATGAAAATCAAATGTGGGAAGAATCAAGATTGATTATATATGTCAAGGACATCAGTTCTGCTTGAACACTGATTAAGTGATTAATGAAGTACTGCCAGAATTACTAAATCTCTTTGCAAGAAAATGTTATTATACCTCCCTTCATAATTATAAGTTTAGGAGCAGAAAAAGGACTGATTCACTAGAAGTAACTTATAAACTAATTTATTTTTTTTAAAAAACTAAAATCCACGTAAGACAGTGGTTCTGCTTTTTACTTCTGAGTTCCTTTTAGGAGATCATTTCAGACCCACTCTTTGGCCTCATAAGAAAACATATACTCCTCTAAAGAGTGAGAGGAGAATGTTTCCTTGATTAACTATTGAACTTAACTTTAGGGTATTTCTTTCATGATTGCATATGGAACATTTATTCATTCATTCATTCAACAAGCATTCATTGAGTGCCAGCTACATGGTAGGCACTGTGTAAGATGCTAGAGAGACGAATAAAAATTCTAGAGGAGAATGTAGGAAAGATTCTCCTGGATATCGGCCTACGCAAAGAGTTTATGAAAAGGACTCCAATGGCAATCATTGCAACAACAAAAATTAATAAATAGGATTTGATTAAACTAAAAAGCTTCTGCACAGCTAAGGAAACAATCAACAGAGCAAATAGACAACCTACAGAATGGAAGATAATATTCTCAAGCTACACATCTGATAAAGGGCTAATAACCAGAATTTACAAAGAACTCAAACACATCAGCAGGAAAAAAACAAACAGCCCTATTAAAAAGTGAGCAAAAGACATGAACAGAAACTTCTCAAAAGAAGATAGAAAAATGGCCAATAAATATATGAAAAAGTGCTCAACATCACTAATCATCAGGGAAATGCAAATTAAAACCACAATAAGGTATCACCTTACCAGTCAGAATGACTTTTATTAAAAAGTCCAAAAACAATAGATGCCGACATGAATACACAGAGAAAGGAATGCTTATACACTGTTGGTGGGACTGCAAATAAGTACAACCTCTATGAAAAACAATATGGAGATTCCTCAAAGTACTATTAAATAAAAGTAGACCTACTATTCAATCCAGCAATCCCACCACTGGGTATTTACCCAAAGGAAAAGAAGTCATTTTATCAAAAAGACACCTGCACTCAAATGTTTATTGCAGCACAATTCACAATTGCAAAGATGTGGAATCAACCCAAGTGCCCATCAATTCATGAGTGGATTA